CCCCGCAGTTAAATACACTCCTGTATACGTCTAGGCATCGACAAAATGATATGATCGATGTCTGGTTCTGGCACCTCATTCCAAGCAAGACGAACTTCGTGGATTAGCTGTCGCAATATCTGTACTACTCAGCTTTCAGAAACTGCTTTTTGCACAAAAACTAAGAGATAACATTTGACAAAGGTGAACAAAAAAAAGTTTGACATTGTTGCCACAGCATGCTTTAAATATAGTCATTGTTGCTAAAAAAGTCAAAGAAATTTTTTTTCTGGGTGTAACACTGAGCATATTTAGATGATTGATCAATTTCACAAGTTACCTCTCAGAACGCGTTTTTCAATGTCAGGTTTGTCTTAAAATGGTAGTTAACTCTTAATTAGAAGCCCATCTACTGGTTGACTATTATGTACGTATCGAAGAAAGAGACTAAACCAAAGCAGTGATCGTCGCGTGATCATCACACAGCCGTGACGTGACAGTGCTGTGACCGGCACGTGATGCGACCGGCGAAACTAAAAACATTCTTTCTGGAATTTGGATGAACTGATTCACACTGGAAGTGACCGTGTTCTCTGTGACCTCAACGACGCCGTACCGTGATCATCGCATTTTTTTGGAACGATATTTTTCGATTTTCACGGCCGTGTTTTTATGTAATTTCGTGAATATTTTGATATAACTGGTCAAAAACATGAATACATCCCGTACTCTAGAACCAGTCAAATTCAAAATACAAGGAATTTCGTTTTCTTCTCGTTTCTTCTTCATCTTTCGTAGGTGGTAAACGGACTCTGACTATTGAACGCGGAAGTTCCCCCGTGTTTCCTCCTATAGCACCGCGGTACTCCATGGTTGTTCAGGTCTTAGGCCTTCGTAGTAGTTGGAGTATAAAAAAATCCAGAATTAATGCAATAATTGCAAGTTCATCCTCTGAAAATTTTGCCATCTTGACCTCACTGTGATCTCACGTCAGCGAGAATCACTGGCACGTCACAGCACTATCACGTCACGGCTGAGTGTGAATAGACCTTAACTGTTATTGGGCAGAATAGGTCGAGCCCTTACACAGAACCAATGGCAAACCGTAGGGTGGAATGGGAGACGATTCGACGTGCATGCAGCCTGGTCCGGTGGCCGGTCGCATTTTAACACTATGGTATAGGATTCGGAATGTTAAACAGTGCTGAAAACAATGTCAGCATGTTATCAATTTAAACTGCTTCTACTAATATATATATATATATATATATATATATAACTTGAGACGTGGTCATTGTCGTCTAGACCAGTTAGGTGAAGTGAAAAATTAAAGCTTCCGCCTTTTGTTGGGTACTTCGACAAACATTTAAGCAAAGATGACTCTTTATACTTTTTTAATTCTCTCTAGCTTTCAATGGACTTTGCCATCATCATCAGGAGCTGCAATTACAATTATAACAGTAGCAACAACAGTGTAAAATGAATTTAAATTGACTTTAAAAAGTTTTTAATCTGTTTTCAACTTGTTCTTGTCATATTTTATATAATTTTGACCATTGTACCATCTATCCAGCTTTCACTATGTTACTGGGCGTTTCCCTCATCCTATACGTAAACAACAATTAGCAACATCCTCACATACTACTACTGTAAGTTAAGTCAATTTAAATTGATTTTACACTATTGTTGCTACTGTTATCATTGTAATTGCAGCTCCTGATGATGATGGTAAAGTCCATTGAAAGCTAGAGAGAATTAAAAAAGTATAAAGAGTCCTCTTTGCTTAAAATTTTTGTCGAAGTACCCAACAAAAGGCGGAAGCTTTAATTTTTCACCTATATATATATATATATATAACTTGAGACGTGATCATTGTCGTTAGGTGAAAGCAAGGAGGACTCTTTATACTTTTTTTATTATCTCTAGCTTTCAATGGTCTCTGCCATCATCATCAGGAGAGTAGTATGTGAGAATGTTGCTAATTGTAGTTTACGTTAAGGATGAGGGAAACACCCAGTAACATGGTGAAAGGTGGATAAATGGTACAATGGTTAAAATTATATAAAATACACACAGCTGTATGACAAGAACAAGTTAAAAACAGATTAAAAAATTTTTTAGAAATTGAAAGTTAAACATTACATCGTGAAGCCACTTGATGATTGCACATGCCCACCATTTTGTGCAATCATCAAGTGGCTTCACGATGTAATGTTTAGCAGTTTAGCTTTTTTAATCTGTGTGTATTTTATATAATTTTGACCATTGTACCATTTATCCAGCTTTCACCATGTTACTGGGTGTTTCCCTCATCCTTAACGTAAACTACAATTAGCAACATCCTCACATACTACTCTCCTGATGATGATGGCAGAGACCATTGAAAGCTAGAGAGAATAAAAAAGTATAAAGAGTCCTCCTTGCTTAAATTTTGTCGAAGTACCCAACAAAAGGCGGAAGCTTTAATTTTTCACCTATATAAATATATATAAATTTTTCATGTAATTTTTCTTATTGCTAAACCAAATTATTAATTTAAAAATCATTAAATATCGTAATAGGAAACAACGTGCGTTGATTATTATCTTACATATTTTTAGCGGAAAGTAAGTAAATTTAAATTTAAATTGATAACATTCTGACCCCATGCTCAGCACTGTTTAACATTCCGGTAGTGATTTCGGCACCCGGCTTGTTATTGGTTGAATAAATTGAAATTGACCAATAAAATTAAGGCTGGTGCCGAATCCTATACTATAGTGTTAAAATGCTGGCCGGTCGTTAATGCTATATATATTTATACAGTACAGAGTTTTCATAAGATTTATTCTGGTATTGCTGTGGGCTTATTAAATTTTTCAGTTCAATTTCATAGAACTCAAAATGTCTGATACGGATAGAGCTGATGAAGTTGTTTATATGAGCTGCATACCGCCTAAAAAAAGATTTATAAACACGAAATGCAAGGAAGGAGTGACTCACGTGTTCACGACATTGTTTGCAAAGTAGCAAGTATTTCGGGCTTTAGTCGTGCAAGTGCTTACCGAATTATTCGGGAGTACATACCTAACCATTCACTGGTCGACCCAAACAAGTATCCGCCAAGGAAAAAAAAACAACGGTGGCATAGATGACTTCGTCAGAACCGCCATAAGAAGATTTGTACACATTTTTTTCTTTCGTAATGAATCACCAACGGTGGATAAAGTGCTGAAGCTGGTTAACGAGGATAGTGACTTGCCAAGTTTCAAAAGATCCTTCCATAAATTATTAAAAAAAAATGGGATTTAAATACAAAAAGCGGAGAAGAAGCAGTATTTTATTGAAAAAAGACGAAATAGTTATTTGGAGAAGGAGCTATCTAAGACAAATCAGAAAATTTCGTGCAGGAGATAGGAAAATATACTCCCTATTATCATATTTTTTTTTTGTTTTTGTACATGCTTAAACTATATCGAGATAAGAAATCAAGAAATCATTTTGTTGGGTCTTTAATAATGCTTTCTTTGGGAGCGATTTTTAAGTGTCCAAAATGAATGATTTTTAGGAAAAGGGAAGCAATTTATAATTTGTCACATCTATAATGAAGATGGATTTGTGTACGATGATTAAAAAAAAAACGGGAACCATGAAGAAATGGATGGAGGCTCGTTCGAAAAGTGGTTCTCAAATAATTTACCGAAGCTTGAAGATGATTCGGTTATAGTATTAGATAATGCTTCATACCACATAAGAAAATTAGAGAGAACTCCAACAACGTCAACAAAAAAATCAAAATTCAAGGATGGTTTACAAATAAAAAATTTGGTTATGATAAGGCAGACTTGTTACAAATTGTCAAGACGCATAAAAATAAATGTAACCTAAAATAAAACTGTTTTACGTTTGCCTCCTTACCATTGTGAGCTCAATCCGATTGAGCTCATTTGGGCAGATATAAAAAAATATGTTGCAGCAGAAAATGAAAGTTTTAAATTTCTGACTTTAAAAATATTTTTCATGATGATGATTTTTTAGTTTAATATTCAGATTAACTGTTTGCACACTGACGTTTCTGCTCAAGCGGTGGTAAGGTATATGCATATCCAATTATTTTTTTAATGTGTCAAGACATTTTTTGAAAGCCTGCTACAAAAATGCGCCTTACGACACATTTCGAGTATCATTTCTTGATAAAACACTTCTACTAAAAACAACAATAGACAGTTGTGTTTTTTTGTTATGACAGTTAAATTAAAAAAATATATTTTAATTCCAAGCTTTACGTTTGGACCCTATACACGCCTGCAATAATTTTGCATACTTTTTATAGGGTCGTAAAACCACAAATCATTCTTAGTACGGCCCTGTAACGTGCACGGCGTTCTGGAGCGCGATCACGTGGAGTATACGTGAATATGTTTAGGTTTAGTCTCTTTCTTCGATGGATACATAATAGAAAGTTGTAGTTAAATCGCTTTGTTTAACAACTTTTGCTTGACGGTGACATGACTTGGCACGGATGACACGAGATACAAACATCGAGCTTCACAAAACGCACAAGAAACGATCTTCCAGACGTCGAAGCAGCGCTGCCAGATCAACAGTGACGTGTATTAAACCAGAACTTGAAAAACGAATTCACGGCCAGCTGATAATAACTTTGCAATTTATAGCTGCCAAATTTAGAAGTTAACCAGCGATTGAAAAACCGGACCTAATAGTACGTTTCGAATACATTCACATATTATGCCGAGTGCAGCATGGAAACGAATGTTAAACGAACTAAAACTTTTTTATTCCTTCAGCGTTGATGAATATTGTTCTTTTCAAATATAGATATTTGAGTAAGGGACCCCTAAAGCTTGAATTTCATTGCTCTATACTGTCCTATGATGGCTATATTCTTGAGGTTCTTTGGGAGATATTAATGTTTCTCTTATGTAATGACCTACTGGATACTTTAAACTGTTCTATATGGTTCATTTTTTCTGTGACAATGACCATCGAAATACATGTCGTCCTAAAACATTATTTTTCTTTGCAGGTCTTAGTGGAATACGACGATGTGGAATGGCAAAGGCGAGAATGGATAAGCGTGTACAAAGATGGCCTGTTTCATCTGTTCATGATCGAGCAAACACTGGTTTGGGCACATAGAAGGGATCCATACACTAACGCACACAGCACAGCTTTGTGGCCCGCTCTTGTAAGTATTTACGTTCACCTATATTCACAAAAATCGTCAAAATATATTTTAACAACCTGGATGATTTTATAAGCATGCAAAAATACAGAAAATATTCGAATTGACCTTTGGAAACGTTGACCTTTAAGCTGTTTTTCTACATAGTCGCCATTGCCGCTTGGAAACTGCTCCTTGCCACTCAGGCACTGAGCGCCGCCAATAGGCGCTTCTTGTTGGGATCGGTGGTGGGAGATCCGACAAACAGGATGGTGTTGCCAGATTTCGCCTTGCATCACGCGCGGCAAAGCTACAGCGTTTGGGAACCTTATTTCGAAAAAAAACCCTCCAAGATGCTTATGGGTTTTGGTCATTCGTTGTTATTTTGTATAGAAAAACTTTATGTCAGCCCGCATATCTGCTATGCTGACAGGTGTGGAGTCTTGGATTTTGAACTTTTTATTTTACTCAGTTTTAGTCTAATTTATCTATTTTTCGAAATTGTTGAATAATCAATACAGAATGGTCAAAAACGCAAAATGTACTTTCCTATGGTAGTATAGGAGTCATTTACAGACATTTCAAAATTTAATTTTATAATATCTATCTGTAATATGAATTAGAACACAAAAGCGGTAGATTACTTGATTACTTGCGGCATTCCATTTAGGAAAAATTAACTTTGATATACGAGCCAAAATTGGGACACCCTGTATAATTTTCAATATTTTAGAAATGTCCCTTCAGACACGATAACTAGTTTTCTTCGAAAACATTTTATTTAGGACCAATACTCCATCCTCGAATGAGTAAATTGGGGTTTCCCTTTTCAGACACAACTAAGCTTGATATAACAAAGCTAATGTGTAGTGAAACGTGAGCGAACGAGTACAAAAAATAAATGAAAAAGTACTCACTGCTCAGTTGAATTGAAATTCCAAGTACGGCTCTGTCGTGAAATCCGTATTTACATCGTAGTCGTATGTCGTATAACTGTACGCTGGTGCTGACGCTGTGGACGTGATCGAGCGATAGGACAGGACCGGCTTCGGTTTGGTTCAGGTTTGATTGGGTTTGCGGAGCCCAATATCGCGGTTCTCTTAAGACATTGGTGTAGATGCTACTAAGAAAATCCGCTTATTTTCTCAAGGAAAACCCCAACTTTGTGTACATAGCTGAAATGGACATGCTTGTTTTCCGCCTATTTAATCATGACCAACCGTAGATAGCGCTGTTTCGTGCTTATTAGCGACTCATCAGTGCGGTATAGGAAAGCGGACAAGTGGTGAAAAACTCAAAACGTTGTGCGCATGTATGCGAAACTCTTGCCTACAAATGATTTGTATAGAAAATAGTTTTGTCGGAGGGACGGTGACCTTGGCTTTTAGATGACTTCAAGACCACGCCTTTTTATAACATATTTTTTATTTCATTAAAATAGGATGGATCTCATGATTGTCAGTGGTGGCCATTGATGACAAGATGAATAAAATCCATAAAAAAAATTATCAATATTTTGTATCAAAACATTATTTATTATATGAATGTTCCGATACCTTTTATTTCGAGTAAAAAAGATATATTTTTGTTTCAGACATTCACTGCCTTAGTTTCATCAGTTGACTTACCTAATCATCTCCAGCCTGTCGAATTTCTGGTAGACAGAGAACTTGCTTTCAAAGATTACAAACAGCTGAAGCCATACTTGGTAAGTTCTACAATGACACAAATGACAATGACAATATTCGAGCGTCATTTGTTTTACTTATGAATGTAACAAAAAAATATGTACATTTTTTTTAGCATAGTGACCATAAACATTCAAACATTTGACAAATCGTAGCACCTGTTTTTCGATCCCGTCCTCAAAGAACGCTTCAACCTCCCCTCATTGTTTCTTTCAACATGTCATCATTTCCCAAGCACTTTCCAACAAGAAATTTCGTAGATTTTGGAAAAAGGTGAAAGTCTGTTGGTGCTAAAGCAGAAGCTGTATATACAGGGTGACTTCGAACTTGAGTCATTTATTTTAACAGTGAGTAGATATGATCAAAAGAAATGTTTTTTTCCTTTACCATTTTTCTGGTAAAATTAAAGTAACAAAGTTATAGCCCTTTGGAAGTTTGAGTACCGCCCTGTCTCAATAATATCATGTACTCGTGTTTGGCAACAACGGATATAATCCACCTTATCGGTTCATCGCATCGGAAACAAAAAAGCGAAAGAATTTGGAACGATGTTTATTTTATTCAGTTCAGTTATACTCGTACATACAGTCGCGTGTGAATAGTATCTGTTGCGTGGCTCAAACGAAATAAAAAATGGCACATGTTTATGCGGATCGGTTTCCCAATCGAGTGCAACCAACCCCTCGTGCCTTTGTTAATGTAGTACAACGGGCTCGTGAATCAGGTGACTTCAGACCTCACAGGGGACCTCACGATCAAATACAGGTCCGCACTGAAATACTTGTCGGGAGGATACTTTATAAAACAAGGTAAAAATTTTTTTTTATATTTTTTTTATATTTATACACATATTTTGGTTTATCTTCCTTCTACAATCATTATCTGAAAATTAATGACTCAACTTCAAAGTCACCCTGTATAGCGGATGATCCAGTAATTCGCAACGAAACTATCCAGTTGCGACTATATTCTTGCCACAACGTGAGACTGAGAGAAATTCAACAAACTTCTGGTCAATTTCAGCAGGATGAACTTTTTTTGGCGACAAACAAAGCTGTATAACCACAACCAACACCGACAGAGACGTGAAACGTAAAGGCGGCGTAGTGAGAGACTGGCCAAGTGTGTTTGAGGTTGAACGGACGTCACATAACAGGATACGCGAGCACGGTTGTTACTTTAAAAAATAATCCAAGTATTTTATGTTTATCTGTCTTAAAAGTTCCAGTTCGTTTGTTCTTAACTTTTCTTCGCTACTCTACAGTGCGCTGCGATAATAGCCTAAACGGTGCTGGACAGGACTGCGACGATTTAAATCAAATGATTTATATTATGATTTTAAATCAATTGTCGTCCAAGCAAACAACTGAAATAGCTCATCAGGGACCTCAAAAAAGTTTAGTTAAAATATATTGCACTATCACTATTATCAGTATCTAAATCTAACTGCTTCCGTTTTCTGACATAAGTCCCAGTATCTTTTCATCCTTTCAACAATTCCTTGTAATTCAAATTTGCATATTTTACAGCTCGCTATGGTTTTTTCTATTTTTGAATAAAATATTGCCAAATAGGGTATTTTTTTCTACCAGCACTTCGGGACATTTCGGCTATCTTTTAAAACACTCTAAGATTTAAACAAGAAAGGATAGAGAATAGGAACACGCAATTTACTTATGAACATACTTGCCGACTATAAGTCAACCGCTCATTGTAAAGACATTTTTTTTAAAGTTTATTTTTATATTGCCGAGGAGATTTTCTTACTATAAATCTAGACAGCAAATATTTGTTGTGCGAATAGAGAGAAATAACTAAAATCAGTAATTTCAAAGTTTGTTATTGCCATATTTAATGAAAAAAAATAGTGCAAATTGATGAGAATAAAAAAATCGAAAAAATTAGATTTTTTGATTTTTTCAAAAAAATCGTGATTTTTTGCAACACTGGTCCTGGACCATACCCAGGTAGGCATTTCCGCCTCAAATGCATGCATTCAAAGAATGTTGTCGGACTGGATACCATTCTAGAATGTTTTTAGTATGATACGGTATAATGAGCAAAAATCTTTATAGGTACATATTTCCATTTTGAAAAGTTGAAGTTCACTGGTATATGCTTACGATCTTATTTGAAGAAGCATATTCCCACATACAGACGCGATATATAGGGTACTATAAGAGTTTTGCAATATGACTTAAGAACGGCCGTAGGAGGCTGCATGTTACTGCATGTTGAGACATGTCCATGAGTGCATAGTAGCCACCAGCAGCACGCCTGTTGATTTAGTTGTTCATTCGTATTGACAGTGTAAATTGCGGACTATGAAATCGTGGTCACGTAGTGAGATGAGGGCTTACGGTATAACTTTACGCGTGGTTTAAGCATAGATCAGTGCTTAGAAGAAATGACGAATGAAGAATGATAAATAATGATAAAGAGTGACATACCAACAGATAGAAGAGACCTTACACCTCCATACACCAGCAATTCATTCAATTCTGTATGACCATTTACACGTAAGAAGACTTTGGTTGTTATACAAGGTGATTACCTTGTAAAACAACTGCAACCCCTTATTCAAAAAATGCTGATGTTCTTCAAGAAAGGAGATAAGAAAGATCCCAATAATTATCGAACAATAAATCTGCGAAATACAACACTCAAATTGACTACACCTCCATACACCAGCAATTCATTCAATTCTGTATGACCATTTACACGTAAGAAGACTTTGGTTGTTATACAAGGTGATTACCTTGTAAAACAACTGCAACCCCTTATTCAAAAATGCTGATGTTCTTCAAGAAAGGAGATAAGAAAGATCCCAATAATTATCGAACAATAAATCTGCGAAATACAACACTCAAATTGACAATAAGAATAATAGCGACAAAAATAAACGAACGAATAACTCTGCAAGAGGAACAGCAAGGATCCCGGACAGGTCGATCATGCATGGATTCAGTTTTTGTAATGAGACAAATAAAAGAAAAGTCGCTGGAATACAACAAACCAGCATATATGTTCCTGATAGATTTGAAGAAAGCGTTTGATAGAGTGAGAATTCCGGACGCGATACATTTATTATATGACAGGGGAATACCACTGGATTTAGTAATAACTATTGAGAATATACAGGGTGACTTCGAAGTTGAGTCATTTATTTTAACAGTGAGTATATCTGATGAAAAGAAATGTTTTTTTCCTTTAACATTTTTGTGGTAAAATTAAAGTAACAAAGTTATAGCCCTTTAGAAGTTTGAGTACCGCCCTGTCTCAATAATAATATTATGTGCTCGTGTTTGGCAACAACGTATATAATCCGCCTTATCCGTTCATCGCATCGGAAACAAAAAAGCGAAATAATTTGAAACGCTGATCACGATGTTTTTATCCAGTCAATGTGTCAGTCGGTAACGCGTGAGTGAATAGTGGTGTTTGCTGCGTGGCTCAAACGAAATAAAAAATGGCACATGTTTATGCGGATCGGTTTCCCAATCGAGTGCAACCAACCCCTCGCGCCTTTGTTAATGTAGTACAACGGGCTCGTGAATCAGGTGACTTAAGACCTCACAGGGGAGGTCATGCCGGTGCTCCAAGACCTCACGATCAAATACAGGTCCGCACTGAAATACTTGTCGGGAGGATACTTTACAAAACAAGGTACAATTTTTTTTTATTTTTACACACATATTTTGGTTTATCTTCCTTCTACAATTATTATCTGAAAATTAATGACTCAACTTCAAAGTCACCCTGTATATAAAGAGGACATAGCTATGGTAATATGTAAAGAAAAACTCTCGCAACCTATCAAGTATGAAACTGGCATTAGACAAGGAGATTCGCTGATTAATATTTAATCTGATAATGGATGAAATCATAAAGAAAGTTAAAAAAAGAAGAGGATATAGAATGGCAGAAAACGAAATGCAGATAATATGCTACGCCGACGACGCCATAATAATAGCCGAAAATGAAGATGACCTACAAAGATTAATTAAAGAATTCGAAGATACGGCGCTCATATACAACATGGTGATTTCAACAGAGAAAACTAAATCGATAGTGATATCAGCGGAACCGAGACGATGTAAACTGGTCGTAAATAAAAAAATAATAGAACAAGTAATGGAAACGGAATACTTGGAAATCAAACTGCCAAGCTGTGGAAAAGTGGAAGAAGAAGTACAAAAACAAGTGGACATGGCGAACAGAGCAGCAGGATATCTCAACAATACAATCTGGAGAAACAAATACCTCACAACGGAGATGAAAACTAGTATATATAAAACAATAAGACCGATAATGACGTACACAGCGGAAAGAAGAGCAGATACAGCGAAAAGACAAAGTTTATTTGAAACAGCAGAAATGAAAGTCTTACGAAAAATAACAAACCAAACTCTAAGAGACAGAGTAAGAAGTGAGGAAATACGAGCGAGATGTGGTATAGAGGAAATAAACCTGTGAATCAAAAGAAGAAAAATCAAATGGAATCAACACATAGAAAGAATGACAGAAAGTAGAACAGTACGAATAGCAAGAGACAAATCGCCAAATGGAAGAAGATCAATGGGACGACCGAGGAAAAGATGGTCAGACAACATCAATTGATGCTAAAAACCGAGGTAAAACAGGCATGAGCCTATTAATAAGGTAGGAAGAAGAAGAAGAAACTTTGTTCTCTCTGGCTACCGCATAGTCTGATGGAAGAGCAGAAGACTCGTCGTACGAGTTGGTGCCGAAAGATGCTGAATATGTTTGTGAATATGTCTGTCAACAGCATCGTGACAGGTGAAGAGACTTGGCTCTATTATTACCATGTGCCGATCAAGGCTCAAAACAAAGATTGGGTCTGTGATGATTAGGTCAGAAAATCCCAATCTGTTAAGAAAAAAATGATGTATTTTTCAAATGGAAATGGACTGTGGAGAGTGTCGTTTTGGACACACAGAAGACAATCAAAGCTAAGTGGTATACGGAAAAATGCCTGCCTAAAGTGATAGAGTCAATG